GAAACCTGCAAACAGGCTGGAGGGCAAACATTATCACATTTTTAATAACCCAGTGTCACCGTCCTGGGGCCATCTAAGCTCAGTCCCCAGGAGTCTCAGGAAGGAGGAACTGAGTTGAGTCTGTTCCAGAAGGACCATTTGTGAAAGTGATCCTAGCAACATCCAGGGCAGATGAGCACACACACTCTCAGGGCACTGTGAACTAGCTTTTATAATTTCTCCTGCTTCTTTCACTACCGCTGTCAGGTGTCACTGTTGAAAGTGGACCTTGCTTTTAACTGCTGAGTCATCCGTGCTGAGTCACACAGGCCACAGAAACACAACAGACTCAACTTCCCAAAGGCATCATATCTTTTTCTTTTCTTTTTTTTCAAGACAAGGTTTCTCTGTGTAGCATTGGAGCCTTTCCTGAAACTCACTCTGTAGACCAGGCTGGCCTCAAACTCACAGAGATCTGCCTGCCTCTGCCTCCCAAGTGCTGGGGCTAAAGGCATGCACCACTGCCACCTGGCTAATAACTTAAGGCTAGGTGTGATGGCATCATCTCTTTTAATTGACACACACAAGCCCACGATGCCAAGATGCCATACCCAAGAAGTGTCCATCCTACACTTGAGCTCTGTCATAAACAAGTGACTCTCACAAATAGGGAGAATAGTGAGGAGTCTATGTCACACATCATATCCACCTCCCTTCGTGATGAACCCCACCCCTTTTGGTCTTTTATATGTTTTGTATCAGGGCGCCAACCACATCATGGCCATCTCAATCCATCAGAAAAAAAAAATCACACCATGAAACCTATGGAAGAAAGAAAGCAGCATCTCAAGCTCTTTCATGAGGTTCTTCCTGGCCTCTCTGCAAGGATGGCACTCCGTGGTGACTGGTAACAGATGGGAAGGGTAAGTGGTATCCATGCTGCACATGTAAGCCCACCTTACAGTTGTGTTGTGACAGGATGATTGCTTAAGTTACCATCTAGAACTTTTTAAAATCTGCTATGAAGTGAGTCTGTGTACAAAGACAAATAGCCGCTTGGCTTCCTTTAGAATGTACTGTGTCACTAGACATCCTGTCTGTTAAGTAATTTTGAAGCAGATTGGGCTATGGTAAACATATCCAGTAATAGCACAGTGGACAGGGCAGTTAAGCTTGACTGAATGAGTAAGGAAGGCCTTCCAGAGTAAAGAATATTTGATCTGCCTCTGAACATGTCCATCATGGTAACAGGAAGAGAAAGGGATTTATGGGACAATTAGCAAAAATAAAAGAATTTGGATGGGTGTGTCATGAACATGGGTGACAGAAACTGTTTTTACAGTTAGGGGAGAGATGAAGGGACTGGAGAGAAGAGAGAAAGCTAGGAGACCCATCTTGGATTCAGCTGTGAGCATGATGAATGAGATTGGACTCTTTGGAAGAACATGGGCAGCCACAGAATTAGTAAAAGCAGCAGGGGCAGTGAGTGTGGACCCCTGTGATTTAGAGATAACTGCTACCTGTGCAGAATAGAGATAGGCGAGAGGGGGCACTGGAGGCAAGAACTCCACACTGCTGTCACCCGCCACGGCACAACCCTGAGAGAAGAGGCAACAAGAACCAGAGTAGAAAAGCAAATCCAGCAGCCTAGGTTAGCAAGCATCCTGAAACAGTTGTGCACAGAGGCAGGTCAGAAGTGATGCTGAGGTCCGTAGCTAGGGGCCTGATGGAAGCCAGGCCATTAGTGTGATGGGGTGCTCTGGAGGAGCCGAGCTGTGATAGGATAACAGTAAATGGTTTTGCTTGGATGCATTGAGTTTGGAGTGCCTGCGGGCCATCCACACAGAGAAGCACTATCTAAACGCAGAAAATTGTTCTCATCTGTCTGGAGGCTCAAGACTGTAACAACAGTATGGCAAAGGACTTCTACCAAAGCACTTTGTGCATCAGAAATAAAAAAGAATAGATTGGAAATATTCATTGTGTTTTGGTTTCTGTACTTACGTAACAAAAAAAGACACTGCAAATCAATACAGAAGAGAAGGCTTCTTTCATAAACAGGGATTCACAGTTGGCCACTTGGGGCAAAATGTATGTATTGAGAGCATTGCCTCATGCCATGCACGAAATTGGGCTAAACCAAAAGGAAAAGGTGGTGGCATAACTATTTATCCTCCCCTGAGTCTCAGCTAGAGAAATACATTACATACTTATAACGGTATGAAAACTATTTGCGGTTAATAGTTTTCTTCGTGAAGGCTTTACTGCTGTGATGAAACACTATGACAAAACACAAGTTGAGAAGGAAAGGGTTCATTCAGGTTACACTTCCACATTATAGTCCATCATCGAAGGAAGTCAAGATAGGAACTGAAGCAGGGCAGGAACCTGGAGGCAGGAGCTGATACAGAGGTCGTGGAGGGGTGCTGCTTACTGGCTTGCTCATAATGGCTTTCTTATGGAACCCAGGACTACCAGCCCAGGGATGGCTCCACTTACAGTGGGCTGCCCTTCCCACATCATCACTAATTAAGAAAATGTCCTACAGCCTGATCTTATGGAGGTATTTTTTTCAGTTGAGTTTCCCTCCTTTCAGAGGACTCTAGCTTGTGTCAGGTTGACATACAACTAGCCAGCACAATAGTTTTGGCCAAGGAAGTATTTCAATCTCTTGTCTTCAACAAACAATACCTGAATTAAAAAGACATTGAAGACATAGATAGATGATAGAGATGATAGGTAGGTAGGTAGATAGATAGATAGATAGATAGATAGATAGATAGATAGATAGATAGATAGATAGATAGATGATAGATAGATAGAGATAATAGATTGATAGATAGATGATAGGTAGATTATGCTACTATTCATAATCTTGAAAAATAGCAGCAAACAAACCTGACAGCAGAAGACAGTTCTATTTAAAATGATCCCTAAGCAACTCCTAGATCAGCCCATAACAAGAAGATGATCCCCCTTTTCCTCCTCTTCCTATTGGCTAGAATGTGAACCGAGATGGTAGAAGATAGAAGCCCCATGTTGGAGAGATGACCCAGTGGTACAGAACTTGCCGTATAAGCATGAGGACTGGGATTCAGATCCCCCCGCCAAAGCCCATCTTCACAGCCAGCATAGGGGTTGGGAGGATGTGCCAGTCTTACTTGTAATCCCAGTGTTTAGGGGTCAGAGACATGGGGTCCTTCGAGCATGCTGGATAGCTAGATTAGACACTATAGGGAACTCTGGGTTCAATAGGAGAGCCTGTTCAGTAAATAAAGTGGAGGGCAATCAAGGAAAGACACCTGAAGTTAACTCCTGGACTCCACTTGTGCATACACGTGCATGTGCACCCCCATGCACACATGTGCCTACAAACATGTGAATGGGCATGCATACACACACACACACACACACACACATCTTCAAAAATAACAAGCCCCATATTAATGGAAGAAAATAGACAAAATAGAGCCAAGAGACACCTTCTTCCATATCAGCCTTTGAAACAATCCCACATAGTTTGCACTCACTCTAGGGACCACCCCAACTCAATGTTCCAAAGGATGACATTGTACAGGCATATGCAAAATCACCTGCCAAGCTCTCTCTCACTGATTTGAAATATAACAAGATGCCTGTTACAGGAATTCTGTCATCGGTCTGCCAGCCAATTGAAAGGAGCGGTTAGCCCAGAGGGCAGAGGTTTTATTAGAGGATATGTGTGGTGGTAATCTAATTGTACTGAATTATTATTTTGATTGTATGTTAATAAATAAAGTTGTCCGGGGGTCAGAGCTATTAGAGCCATAGCAAGAGTGTGGCGGTGGTGGCAC